CTGGTACAAGCAGCAAAAATGAAGCAGCAGACGCGATTTTGCTGCTTTTGCTGCGTCCGATGTGAACGCAGCATTAGGCTACATTCACACTGCAGCCTGAAGTGACCCAAATCAATGTTTTTTTGCCCATATGCGACCTGGAACTGATCTTTTCATGGCAGTCTGAACAACACAGACCTGATTTTTTATGTGCTCCTGAATCCGATACGAATCTGATCTTTTCAAATTCGACCAGTGTCTGAACACAGTGTGAGTTTTAGCTGCGTGCATCGATTTAAAAAAATCACACAATGTATGCCCGGCTTAAGATAATCGTTTTATTGATTGAACCACTCAGAACAAGAGTTACAGGATGTTTTAAGTTTGATTTGAAGCCCAGGACTCCAGAACCTCCCAGCCTGGATTTACTTTAGTTAAATAAACCAAATGTCGTTTTTAAAGCTGCAACTAATAGCTTTGCTAAAGCATTGGAATAAACAAACCTTTTTAAATGTTCTCTAAATCAGAACTCTGACCAAAATAATGCTAACATGATGTCACAAAAGCAATGTTTTCTTGCTTTTTACAGATAAAAACTTGTCCTGTTCCCACTGGCTGCCATTGAAGGCATTATAAATATATAGTAAATCTGCTGTGAATGCACACCTTTAGAAAGCCTGGGCACTGATCAACAGCCGCTGAAAATGTCAAGGTTGTGAAGTGAAGTGCTGAGCTGTTGCCAGGAAACTAAGTTACAGGAACGAACACACCTTCTGTATTTATTAGACAATACAGCAGCCCTTTTGGAACAGGACGTGATGAAGGGCGACGTATATCAATCCATAAAATTACCTTCAACTGGACGTCACGGCTGGTAATGTCCTCAGCAAATAAATGCAGTCAGTTATATAACAGCTTATGTAAACAGAGGAACAGTTTCTGCTGTACAGTTTGGACCTGAGCCTGGTCTGTTTTTCACTTAGAAAAACTCTTAATGGTCCCAAAGTTTGCAGAAAAGCAGCAGAGTTTAGGTCATAAGAGCTGAATCTGAAGACTGATGTGTTGCATAAGGTCCTGGATCCATGCTGGAGGTTACAGTGTTCATAGGGGAATCCGTGGCCTGGAACTGCCTTTTAGCTTGTTGGAGGTGAAAACAAACATGTGGTTGATTCCTCATGTGTTTTGTTTTAATTCTTTAAAAAAGAAAGTAAGAAGTATTGACTAATTTGCAGTCATCTCTTCAGAAGAAGCTTATCTTTTTTTACATTTATCACTTTAT